AGTGAGGGTGAAGGGGGGGGGGACCGGGGGGGGAGGGTGGGGAGACCAGATTTTTTTCCTCTTCTAAGAATTTGATTGATAAAATTATAATGAACTCTTCTTCGACAAAACGCGCTGTGGTTTTCCTGAGTGGCTTGCCCTGAAGATGGGGAAGGGGGGGGGGGGGAGGGTCCCCAGGCCGAGTCATCAGGGTCCCCAGGTAGTGGGCGCCCCAGACAGCCCTGACTCACCTGGGTTTGGGGAGGTGGCTTGAGACTAAGCAAGCAGATGGAGGCTGGCACCTGTGGCCCCCTCCCCCTGATGGAGGGTTTTGGGGGACAGTGGGCAGGAGGCAGGCTGGGGTTTGGCAGAGAAGGAGATTCCAGGAAGAGGGGCTGGGACCCGGCCTGGACTTTAGACAGTAATAAAGCGGAACTGTACGTGGGCGCTGGGAGCCACCTCATAGGAACCTGCCCGTTGCCACCGGGCAAAGGGGAGCTCCCCAGGGAACGGTTGTCTGGGGTCGTCGTCCCCCCGCACCCATCAGCACGCCTGCGTGGCTGGGGAAGGGGCTGGGAGGATGGGGGTGGGAGGTTGCTGTGACTGGGTCATTTGGGGACAGACAGCTCCTGGGAAGGCGTTTGGGGTCTGGGTTTTACCTAAACTCTTTCCAGCTCCCCTCCCCCCAATGGAAGGTAGGCCAGCGTTCCCTCGGGGAAGGACCCTGAAGTGGAGACCTCAAGGGGCTTAGCAAGTGGGACCTGGGGTCCCTCCTGGGGCTGCAGAGGGATGGCTGGGGAGGACGGAAACCGTGTGCCCCCCCACACCTGCCCTGGAAGCCCCGTGGCAGCCTCAGAGAATGGTGGGGGCCCCACCAGGTGCTTCCCGAGTCTCAAAGGCAGGGTCACCCATCCTATTTGGGGGGACCAGGGCGAAATGAGCACAGGGGCTCCTCCCCTAGGAAAGGCATTTATTGAACATGAGGTGGGGGGTGCTGGTCAGAGAGCAGGAACCCGGGACCCCACCGCAGCCCTCCCACCGGGCCCTGAGCAGAAATGAGGGTGGGAGAGTTGGGTTTCCAAGGTCGGGGAGCCCCACGGCCTTTCCCTGGCCCCCAGTGCTCCCTCCCACCCCTCCCCCATCCTCCATGCGTGCCCCCCACTCCTGGTCCTCGCCACACCCCAGACCTGCCCAGCCAGGCGCCCCTCCCTCCTCGTGCCAGGACGGCCCTAGTGCCTGCTGCGCCCCCCCATACACACACACCTGCCCCCCGCAGGCTCGCTCACCCCATGTTCGGGGGACCTGGGATGTGGGGCGATCAAATTGCCGATCCCGCCTGGCGCTTCCTAGCAGGAAGGAGGCTAGGAGAGCCCAGGCCAGCTCTCCTTCCTTTTCCCTGCCCCCCAATACCTTGTGTCTCCCTGGGGGGGGCATAGAAGGCCCCACCTGGCACTTGCCCCCCATACACCTGCTCTGTGGTCAGCATACACCCCCCGGATGCCCACCCACCCAGCCTGGCTCAGACAACCCCACGGCCCAGGGCAATGCAGCTCCCCTCCCTCTTCTCACCCCCCCGCCCCCCCACAGCCTCTCTTGCACAAGGGCCTGGACACTGGGGGCACGTGAACTCCCTGGGTCAGCCCCCAGCCCCACCCCCACAGCTCTCAGACCTGTCACCTGACACAGCTTGGATTTCAGACATGGACCCCAAATCCATGGGACACGGGGCCCCCGGGTTTCCCTGCCCGAGTCTCACTAGATGTCCCGATTCTCCGGGGGCCGCCCTCCCCGGCTCCCCTGGCCCAGCCTCGCCCCAGCATCCTTCTGCACGACTTCTAGGGCCTTGCACCGCCCTCTGCCCCCCTCCCCCAGTCCCCCCCCAACCCTACAGTCACCCCCAATCGCTGTAGAACCTCAGCCCCACCCCACAGGAAACAGGAAGTCGGGGCAGAGTCTAGGAGAGACGAAACCCCGATCCCGACTGGCCCCTTCCGTGCCTCGGTTTCCCCTCTGGTGGTACCTGACGTGGTCCGTGCTCCCCACGCGCCGCGGGCCCAGCCTCCCGCTCCTGTCCATGTCCAGCACCACGTGGGC